TATATATAGCCTTATGTAGGACGTCTGTTGGCTCCTCTTTCCTTAGTTGGTTACTTGATCAATTTATGGACTTGCCTTGATATTTTTGAATTGCTTTTCTTCCATAATATGTCTTATATTCGAGCTCAAGAAATAAGGCAGTCATATTAAGATTTTCATGAAATTATAATCACATATACAAGGAAGAGTATATCAATTGCGGACTAAAAGACTATTTCATGAATGCAACGGCTCACTTAAATCATGTGTGATCAATTTAAGTAGGAATATTCCAAGCTACTCAAATTAATTACCAAAGAAAACAAGTTGCGTTCAACTCTAAAAAACGGCAGAACATTATTCTCAATATAAGCATGCAACGGATTAAATATGGAATATATTTCAAACAAGATTTACTTTTCAAATCCGTATAGCAAGAGAATATTTTACCTACCATAATAAGCATGCAACGGTTCATGCCAGAAAACATCCATATTCAAACTATTCACTTGATAAGTTAAATCAAGGATAACTTTTATGGTAAGGAGATATTTAGCAAAGCATGCAATACGTAAGTGCAATGGTCAACAACCAAATATAAATCATGCAATCATAATATAGCAAATAAGGATACTTTCCATAAAGTAATATGATATACTAATAAGTGGATGTCTAATCAAGTATGGAAAGAGAATAACCATTCAAATAAGCACTCATATAAGCAAATTACGTATATATATTATCTGGTCATGCAAAAAGGATATTTTTGCTTAAAATAATATTCTTGACAAAGTATAAGCACTCATATAAGGAAAGTACATTAATTGAAAATCAAGTAGGTGCAATCAATATTAATTCAAACCATATCACGAAACTAGAAATGGTTCAGTATTAGTTCCACCTGCATGGTTAGTCAACAACACAATAATAATGTCCATTTGGACCTGAGGATAGTTTTGTCCTTTGTTCCTTAAGGAATTGTGAACGGTTCTGTCCGCCGTTCCACCTGCATGATTAGTCATCAACAAAACCACATACTTAACAAAGTTAAATATACATATATCTTTTAGGAAACTAAAATATAAAAGCAAAAGTAAATGACGGCGAATCTAGACAAGAACTAGTCGGACACATAGAACGATTTTTAGAGCAGTGCTCCATATATATTTATAACACACACACACTATAAGGAAAATAGAGGATGGTTCACGTGAGAGTGGTCTATCTACTTAGTTAATAATAAAGTACAACCTTCTAATTGAAATTGAATTCTCAATTAATTGCTATTGAGTCCAATTAGTGAATAGTCATTAATTGCAATTAAGTCCTAAATTTATACGGAGTAGTATTTACATTTACTATATGGAGCATCAACAGTTCCCAATATGGAAAGATTATACTCTTTTGCATATTCGTACATATTTATCCATATGCACAATATATTTTTGTATTCTACAATATTATGCTTCTTTTAAAGATAATAGTTATTTTTTATTTAAAAAACATATAACAGAGTAATTGAATTTTCAAAAAAAAAATCAAGTGACTATAATATTATTTAGTAGTAAGAGTATAGGCCTTTTTATTCCAATATTACTAAAAATAGGATAAAAGATAAAAAAGTGATCTGTTTTTTAAAATTCTAAAAATGTGACCAACATCACAATTAACCCTGCAGTGTAAAGTGACTCCGGGCAAAGTGACTATGTCCAAAGTGACCCACCAACCACAGTGACCGTCCCGCCGGTCATAGTGACTGCCCCGCCGCCACAATGACTGCCCCGCCACAACAGTGACTACCTCGCCGCCACAGTGACTGCCTCGCCGCCACAGTGACTGTCCCGCCGCCACAGTGACTGCCCCGCCGCCACAGTGACCGTCTCGCCACAGTGACTCCGGTCACAGTGACTCCGTGACAGTGACTTCCTACCCATCGCCATAGTGACTGCTTGCCCAACTCCGACCACCATCGCCACTTTTTGTCCGCCGCCGCCACCACCGGTCACCCCCGCAGGCCACTGACACCGATCAATTACAAACTCAGTCCAACCACTCACAACTACCTAATCTCATAATAACCACTGGTGGCCAACACCGCCGGCGACCACCACCTCCACCGTTGTCATCCTCTAGTAGCCGCCATCCATTCAGAAACCGCCGCTGCCGCCCTGCCCCCTCCCTAACCCCAACCACAACCCCCTCTCAAGCTCGCCTACGATCCCCTGCCACCTCCCCAACCCCCTCCGATCCCCTGCCACCTTCCCAGCCCCCAGCTCGACCCCCCAGCTCCCCTACCCTAGATCTAGCCCAAATCGGATGCAAACAGCCAGATCCCCAACCCCCTCCGATCCCACTGCCACCTCTCTAGCCCGACCGCTAGCTCCCCCACCCCAGATCTAGCCCAAATCGGGTCCAAACACCCTAGATCTGTGTATTCTGGGCATAATAAAGGAGAAGACATCGGAGGTGAGCGATGGATGCCCGCCTTGCCTCGAGCTTCTCGGAGTTCTCTAGTTGTACGACGGCCGATTTTGTGAGGTGGTGAGAGGGGATCTGATGGCCGACTGAGATAGAGATGCGTACGTACGATTGCGAGAGAGACGGAGGGGAAGGGTTAGTGTGCGGTTGTGTGGAGAGAGGCGCGTGTGGAGAGATGGACGGGTAACATTTGTGGAAAAAGAAAAAAAGGTCATATTTCTAGAAATTGAAAAGTCAAATGTGATAAGCGGGTCATTTTTTCCATATACATTAAGATTCTCGAATTAAATATAAATATTTTTTTCTTATTGGTACTTTCTATGTTATGAAATAGGTACTTTCTACTGAATATGCATACATTAGGGATACGGAAAATAAATAAATTGAGTTGTTTTTATATTTATTTATTCGTAGTTTTTTTCTAACCAATATGTTTGCATTGTGAAATAAATCCTTCATAAAATTTTATTAACACCTTGAGAGATAAGTTTCAACAATGGTCAATGTTACATTGCAATATCAAGAGTAATGCTCAAAAGAAATAAATTTCTTTAACAAGGTAGTGAATGTGATTTATACTTTATAAGGAGATTTCCCAAAATCTAACAATGTGATGTTTGGTGTGTGTGGTGTTTTACATTACAATGTCACTATTTAATATATTCTCTTTAATTAATCATTGTGCATTACGAACAAACATTTATTTAAAGTAAAATGATTATTTATATGTTGTATATCTTACAAAGTATTCAAACATTCTCAAAATCCATCCAGGGCAACGCCCGGGTAAAACACTAGTTTTGAGACAAATGAGAATAAAATCTAACTATCTACTAATTCAATCGGATAAATTAGATTTTTACAAAATATAGGATTATGTGCAAGATTTTCATATGATTAATGTAGTAAATAAGATAGTCGTGCAACTCAATATATATATTACTTAAAAGGAACAATGGTAAACAGTGGTGGAGCCAGAGATTTTTTGAAGGGAGACGTACAGAAAGCTAATATTTATGGTGTATTTTCTCAAAATATAATAAAAACAATAAAAAATGTAATACATTAGCACAAATTAGTCATTACATTCTACTTGACTCATAAATTTTGCATAGGAAAACGAGTTAATAGGACTCTTGTACACTCATAGAGACACTCAAAACTCAAAAGGTTCTCATAGAACTGAGCAGTCTTACCCCTATCTATACTAAAACAATCAACACTTGCATTCAAATGAGTGGCGTATGCTGCATTCAATATGCACTTGTATTCCTAGAGACGCGTTTCCAGAAAGATTTTGTCTTTTATTTTAATACTTAATTTAAAATTGTCTTTAATGAGTATTTATTTTTGAAAAAGAATGAGAACATTAAATATATTATACTCCCTCCGTCCCGCTAACAATGGGACAAGAGAGAGCGACACACAAATTAATAAAAAGTGGTTTATGTGGTTGATATTGAATTGATAAAGTAAGAATGATTTAGAGTCACACAAATTTTGCCAAATTTGGTATGAGACAATCTTAGTGGGACGAACCGAAATGGTAAAACGGGACAATCTTAGCAGGACAGAGGTAGTAAGTAGTAGTACTATTTTTTTTGGCCCGAAGCGGGGGCGCTTGCCCCTCCATGCCCCCGCCCAGCTCCTCCACTGATGGTAAAGATCATCTAAGTAATTGTCATGTACAAACCACCGCACTAGAAATTAGAAAACATAATAGGAATTAGGAAAGAAATTAATACCCATGAACTGAAATCATTTTAACAAATAACAACTCCATATAATTTTGGTACAATTTGAATAATTTCGTGATAAGAATATCAATGATCATTGATCAAGAAAAGTTGATATGACTAAATTTTGTGTGGCATGGAACAAGTAGAGCCAAGGGGGTTGGAGAGGTCAGCTTACTCCCCTGAAAGTTGGAGCAGGTAGAACACTGAAATACCTTCGATTTAATATATTACGAGTATAACTCAGGCTCTCGTAAGTCCTTACAAGTTAAAAGATATAAGTACTAGAAAATCAGCATCATCTAAATTTGAAATGAGTAAAATTTGATGTGTAATATTAGTCATATTCTCAAATTTTAAAACTAACGTCTCATTCACTCATTAGTTGTGTGAAGTTTGGAATGTATTAGTTGGAGTATATATCAAATCAATAATTCTCTTTGCCTGAGTTAAACTATCGCTTATCTTCCTTACATATGAATTGTTCAACTCAAGTATTGTATGAAACGAATCCGACCTTTTGATACTCTACATGGCTAGCTAAATATTTGAAACTTATATTATTATTTTTCCCAATTAATCATTAAGTCAATTGTGAATAGTTGCAAAACAAGAAATTGTATATTCCTTTGGAATAGATGCAAAGAGCAAAAAACAAATGGCGGAGTCCGCTGTTAACTTTTATTATTCGTTCAATAAAGGTCCTAAAAAAATGGCAGAATCGGCTTTTAATTTTACTTTTGATAAAAGAGATCCTGATATTGTGCAAAGAATGGAGAACAATTAATAAAAAGACTGTACCCTAATGTAAAGTATTTAAGAGGTACCGGAGGCTTTGAGAATTCTCACAGCATCACAAAGAAATCCATCGATCAAATTTGGTTGGTAGAAAATATTTACTCTACGATGGCGAAGATCTTTTCCTCTGTAGGGTACACCGTTGCTTTGATTGTGGCAGGTTATAAATCATACTGGCTACTATTTTATACTTTGTGTCCTAATAGTGTTACCTCTGTCTCAAATTAACTTGCAAAGTCTAACTTTTTTGTTTTAATTTTATACACAAACAGTGCGTATGAATATAATTGTGTTTTCTGTGTCCTTTAAAGCACGTTAAATTAGTAAATTACACACACATAAATTTATATTCTCGCCGCCCAATACTGGTGGCATATATATACTACATACAGGGCCCCTATTTATGGGCCCCCAATTTTTTAAAAATTTATTAGCGTTATATAATAATCCTAATGATTAAAGTACAATTAGTAAGGAAAAATACGGAGTATATAGATTCATCACTTTTTGTAACGGTCGTTTTAGTTCTCTTATAACCAAATTGTTTGACTAAAGAGACATGTTGCTTTAAATCAAGTACTCCATATTAAGCAAAATTTTAGAAAAAAGTTAATTATTACGTTATTTAATGAGTACATAGTATTAAATTAATTTGAGTATAAAAGCATCTTTAGTAGCAATGTGAATTGACTAAAAATACATTGCAACATCATATTGAGGTAAAATTATCTTCTCCAATGGAAATATGTATATTAACTATTGGCGTTGAGTTGGCATAGAAAAAACGGAACGGCCGTCTACGTACCTCCCTTTCTACTTTCAGCAAGGCTATTTAATAGCCAAGTCAACAAATCATTTATTTTATTATACGGAGTATTCTTTTGCCGGAAACATTTATCATAATGTGTTTGTGAAGTGCTTCATTAGACCAACAAAAGTGCAGAACGATAGATTCCATTGGAGTTGCAAGTTGATGGTAATGGATTGTCCGTCCATATCACCTTCACAAGCAGTTTATTCAATTTTTAGTGGGATGCTATTCACATCCTTATTAGTTTTTTATTTTTATTTTTATATTAATATATGGAGCATCGGCTTTATATTTGAAACCAGAGCATCCAAATTCCTTAGACGGCTCTGTCTACTACATACTAACTACACTACTACGAACGTACGTATATAGCCCTAGTTACATTTTTCATTATCCCAATGATTAGAGATAATAAAAAATTTTGATGAAATTTTTTGCGCATGTTTTTCATCAACTCTTGTTTATTCACCAAAAATTTCAGCTAAATATTCGATCGGGAAGGCAGTCAAATAATGTTTTGAAGATAACTGTGTTTTTATATGTGTACTTTGGCGCAATTATCTTCCAAAAATTATTTGACTATCTTCCCGGTCGAATTTTTAGCTGAAATTTTTTGTGGATAAACTAGACTTGATGAAGAACATGCCAAAAAAACTTTCATAAAAAAATACCACCGGGAAGGGGACCAAACACCAAGGTCCCCAATGCAAATGGCCTCGGCCTAAACAGCGCAGTTTGTTTCACAATTTATTTGACTATTTTCCCGATTGAATTTTTAGCTTAAAAAATTTAATCAAAAAAATCCACCGGGAAGGGCCCCGTCCGGACGGAAAATTAGAAGATGGAAGTAATTGAAAATTTGTTTGATTTCATTCTTGTAATTAATTTCTTATTTGAGGAAAAATGAAAAGATGTTTTGAATGTGTTGTGTGTGGATGCAGTATGGTTGGTGAATCTTCCGTCAAGTGATGCGGGGTGCCGTGCTGTTATCCTGACGGAGACAAATTCTTCAATAGTTTGCATCTGGTCGTCTGAAAGCAGTACGTTAGTGCCAGACAACAGTTGCAACACTGAGTGCAAAAATCGTGGCATGGATGCAGGCTGCACTAATTCGCTGCAATATCCAGAGGGCTGTGGTTGCTCAAAATGCGATTGATTGATCACTCTATGTATGGCAGTTGCGCGTTTATAATTTGTATTGGATCAAATAAGCTGGCATGCATATATACATGATGCAGCAATGGTGCTCTCTCGATCTCCCTCCCCCATCGCATACACACACATGCATACGTGTATGTATGTGCATGTGGATTCTCCATGCTGCATGCCGCACGTATTATTACCATGTTCTAATTGTATACTCCGCTATATTATGTTTGTCATTTACACCCCAATATCATACTCCCTAGTAACTAATCATCATGATCGAGTTTAAATATCACTATATGTTATACTAGTATGTATACTCCCATTTTACCTTTTCGGGAAATCCCACCAACATTGTCCCTAAACAATTCAAAATTGAATTATTTATTCACCCTACTTTGTATTTTGTCTTTATATTCTTTCCTTAGACTAGATTCATTGTATGTGAATTATTATTTCCTTCTCCTACTTAATAGCTGTTGGAATGTAACTATATATATGTGTGTGTGTGTGTGTTAGAAATTAAACTTGGCTTAGCCCAATAATTGGGTCCATTAGAAGTTAACTTATTGGGCTAATAGTTGTATGAGAAATAATAAATTAGTTAGCCCATAAGTTAGAGTTAGTAAAGAAAGATCTAGAGTAGTCTTTAGTTAATGTAGTTATTAAATAATTCTAGAATATTCCTAAGCTAGAATCCTATAGAACATTGTAGAATGCTTAGGACATAGGAGTGCCTAGAAGGATCCTATGAGACCTATAAATAGAGCACTCCTCACTCATTTGTAACACAAGCCAAAGCTCCAAATCAATAAAGGTTCCTAGTTCTTCCAAAATCATCTCTCTTTAAAATCCTCTCTTCCACACACAATCACCTAAATACAATACTCATAAACTCATTTCTTCCAACAAAGTGGTATCAGAGCCATCAACCCTTTCAAGAAAAATGAATGCCAACGGCTTACTTCCATTCCAATTTCCTCGTCTCACCAAAGATAACTACTCTAGTTGGTGCATTCGCATGAAAGCCTTGCTAGGATCTCAAGATGCATGAGAGATTGTTGAGAAAGGTTATGAGGAACCTCAAGATGATGCTACTTTAAATCAATCCCAAAGGGATAGTCTCCAAAGGAGTAGGAGGAAGGATCAGCAAGCTCTCACTCTCATATATCAATGCTTAGACGAGGCCATGTTCGAGAAGGTTGCAAATGCCACCACTTCTAAAGAAGCATGGGAAATACTTCATAATTCTTTCAAGGGAGTCGACAAGGTGAAGAGAATTCGTCTTCAAAATCTTAGAGGTGAGTTCGAACAACTTAAAATGAAATATTCGGAATCAATATCCGATTATTTCTCTAGAGTGTTGGGAATTGTAAATGATATGAAGAGAAATGGGGAGGAACTAAAGGACATAACGGTGATTGAGAAAATCCTTCGCTCTCTCACCAAAGACTGATTATATTGTGGTGGCCATAGAAGAGTACAAGGATTTAGAGACCATGACCATTGATCAACTTATGGTCTCACTACAAGTCCATGAAGAAAGAGTTGTGAGAAATAAATCTGATGAATCATTATATTGGAGCATTCCCTTTACTCCAAACTCTCTTTTAAAGAAAGAGGGGAGAATAGAGGTGAAGAAAGAGGCCAACGAGGTCGTGGTTATGATCGAGGACGTGGTGCACGTGAAAGAGGTGGTCGAGGTCGTGATTATACAAAATTCAACAATGAAGAAAGAATTCAATATACACAAGCATCTAGAGGCCGTGGGAGAGGAAACAAACCACAAAGGTACGACAAGTATCAACTGAAGTGTCATAATTGCAATAAGTATGGTCACTATGCATATGAATGCAAGCACCCTCATAATGTGAAAGAAGAGGCACATCTCATGGAGATGAATAATGGGGTAGAACTTACCTTGTTGATGGCAAATAAATCATGAAGAACAAACAAAGAAGAGCACGTGGTATTTAGATATCGGAGCTAGCAATCACATGACGGGAGATAAGAGCCTGTTCGTGAAGGTGGAACAAACTCAAGGTCACGTTACCTTTGGAGATGAATCTAAAGTCATGGTGAATGGCAAAGGTAACGTTCTAATCCGCCTAAATGACGGAAGTCACCAATTCATTTCTGATGTTTACTATGTGCCCAACTTAAAAACAAATATTCTAAGTATGGGACAACTCTTAGAAAAGGACTATGATATTCACCTAAAAACAAATATTCTAATTATGTCATTAGATGACGGTGGGAATCTAATGAATAGTTTGAAAAACTCAGATTTACATCTCTAAAAAATTTGAGATGGATTTTTGAGAGCACAAAGTTAGTTCAACGAAGTTGGGATCGATCACTTCGTACTAACAATAACACTTGTCATTAGATATATAAATATTTTGTTATGTATTTGCGTTTATAAAATATAATTAAAGATAAGAAGATCTGAGCAATTGAGGAACACTGAAATTGTTACAGATCAAACTTTTGTAAACATTCAATAACCAAATACATTATTGATGGTATAGCTTTAAAAAAAAATTACATTATCAAACATTCAATATTAATATGTACGGAGTATAACCAAGCATTTCAGCCCAGCTGGTTGTGAGGTTACCATGCCTAGTGGGAGGTCTTGAGTTTGAAACCCACTAGGCACATAAGGGTTCGAAACTCAATGGAGTGAGTTTAAGCTCTGATTACTCCACCCCCCCCCCCCCCAGACCCCCTGGATTAAAAAAATGTATGGAGTATTACATTTTCTTGATATCAGTTGAAAAAGTAACTCTTTAAATGTTTATACTTACCATTCATCATATCATTTCATATCGAGATTGGAAAATAAACAAAATAATTATATGTCTATCATATAATGTACAATTGAATCTATTTGATGACAATCAATCATATATAAAGTTGATTCCACGTGGTCATTTAGTTTTAAAAGTTCCACGTGATCATTTAGTTTTAAAAGGGAAGAGATAGAAAGAATTACGCAATGAATCAATATTGTACTCTAATTGTTCATTTCTTCTTTCAAATTCTGAAGAATTACTTTCACAATATAGAAATTAAAGAATGAATCTTATAAAATCATTATAATTCATCTAACTAAAAATCGACAATCTTAAATAAAAGATTCAACTTATGTTGAAAGAAAAGAAATGGTACATAAGATGTGCCTCCTTACCGACACACTCCATAAAAAGAAGAATTTTTTTATAATATCACATGAATAAAACTCATGAACAATAATATGACTCAATTTATTATGACTATGATTTCGTGTATTACAAAGTCAAACATAATTATAGTGACTAAGGTTTAATTTACAAATATAGTAAATGTGTCATTATTTTAATTTTTATTTTAGTTATAGATAAAAATATGTCATTATTTTCATAAAAAATAGTCGCATATATTATTATACAATGAAAACCATAATGGTACAAAAAATTGAACTCATATTTTAATTATTTAGATACGTTTATATCGTCTTTTACACATGTTTGTAAAACAATTTTTTAATTTACCATGTAATGATATCTTATACCATGTAAGACTTGGATGTTCTTGTTATTTTTGTTAGTGTTGTTGTAATGCTATCTTATATATACCAAGGACTATTATTATTGTTATTGTTATTGTCATTATCCATATAATTTCTATGCATAATGTGTTTGGTGCTTCCACAACCTATTCGTTTAGCAATCATGATAATGTTAATCCATCTTCTATCCCGCTATGGAGCCGCACCGCAATATGTTTTTTTATCTTTTTATCCTTACATGACATCAGATATCCTTATTTTGGCTCCACTTGGATTCAGGGGTGGACCGTAGTACAGACCCAGGGGTTACCGCCCCCCTCCAACAACAAAATATTTTAGTGTATATATATACGAAAAATAATTTTTGCCCCCTCAAAAACTAATTTCCAGCCCCAAAAAATATTTTGAACCCGCCAAGATGAATTTTTTGGGTCCGCCCCTGCAGTTGGGTTAGTGTTGCTAGTGATACTAAGACCCCGTTTTGTAATACCAAATGTGCTAAATTAGTTGATTCTGCTGAAATTTATAAATTTTTAGCTAAAGTGGCTGCATTGATTGATTCTGCTCATTTATGAAAAAATTATATTTAAAATATATTTTATTAATAAAACAAAGAAAAAATTATATGAAAAATAGCTAAAATGATATTTTACAGTAACTTCAACCAATAGAGCCAGAAAAGTAATTATAATCTTACTTTTTCTTATTACTTGTATTATGCATTCAGCGCGTGAAATCAAAATTTACGCGTTTGGTGAAAATAATGGCTGATAAACCTGATAAGCCAAAAAAACATGTTTACCAAACGTGCTCTAAAAGTCCTTTAATTTTCTCATTTTGTAATCGTCCTCTCATTTTACGATTTGTATATCACTATATCATGTCCCGGGCATATAGTATGCTTTAATTTTTATTCAGAAATTATGCGTTATTGTTGAGATTCATATAATAGTTGTACTGTCATTTTGTAAGGCAAAACCTTAGTGGAGTTCTTGTACAGCAGTACAGGCTACCAATAATTGAAGTATCTACCCCATCACATTACCTACGTACTTCTTTAGTTTCATTCCCGTTTTCGATTAGGTCGTTGCGGTAACAAAAATATTTATTCATTGGTGCTTTCGGGGTGAAGTCTTGCAGAAGTATGTATGTTAATGTAAGTGACTTACGTTTAGTGTAAATGATATTAAAAATATGACTATAAATGTTAATTGAAGAAGAAAGAGGAGGAGAATGAGAACATATAAGATGGACAAGAAGAGAAGATGTGTGGAAGTGAAGAAGAGGAACTAGTGTTATATACCTAAGGGGATGAAAAAACAATGACAGCATAGCCACTTTTATATACTTGTATATTTAAAGCACCGACCTCACGTAGTCAGTTTTTGGTCCTGTTTTCCGTCTCCTCACTATAACAACATGTACTACGTATATGAGAGCTCTTCTCATCAGGCCGGCCTGACGGGCTGCCCCGTCCGGCCGAGCCCGTTTGGGCACCTTCCCGGTCGAATTTTTTGATGAAATTTTTTGAGCATGTTCCTCATCAAGTCTAGTTTGTCCATACCAAATTTCAGCTCAAAATTCGATCGGGAAGGTCGTCAAATGATTTTTGCAAGTTAACTGGTCCGGAAAATACATATTCCGGACCAGTTAACTTGCAAAAATCATTTGACGACCTTCCCGATCGAATTTTGAGCTGAAATTTGGTATGGACAAACTAGACTTGATGAGGAACATGCTTAAAAAATTTCATCAAAACATTCGACCGGGAAGGTGCCCAAACGGGCTCGGCCGGACGGGGCAGCCCGTCAGGCCGGGCTGATGAGATGATTTCTCCGTAT